GAATTACAAAGGCCTAAGCTGCTATTTATACTAGATCCTAACGACCTTTCTGACATGACCTAGACAAGTGAAATCATCCAAGCCGTCCAAATAAAGTCGATTACAAACATAGTCACGTGAGAAGCACGTGCAGCTAACTAACCTAAGTAAAACAGTAAGAAGAGGTTCTCCACAGAAGATGAACCGCAGACCCTCTGTGATCCATCCCAGAGGCTCTGCTGCATATGACTTGTAAGCTCTTGATAACAGAGGACCATTTTCCAGAACCTCTGTGAGAGACAACAAAGGTTCTGTCAATCTTGACTTGTACGAATGATCATCTTCTGATGTTGGTCCTCTGTGGTCTTCTGTGGAATGAACTCTTCTGTCAACATTCGCAGTAATACTTTTTTATACTTTTACATTAAATGAAATATGAGAGCTAACAGGTAAGTCTTTCCTCCCTTGGTATTTCTAGGCTGAAAAACAGCCCCTATGCATGTCAAAGAAAATATCACCATAAATCGTAAAAACCTTAATAAGTTCTAGAATTTTTACAGAAGAACCATCTATGTGTGTAGTTTATTTTGTTAGAAGAAACCAAAACCTAGTTCAGAATTGAACTAGGTCAAGAACTAGGGTTGTTACCCAACTGTCAAATACGTTTCTGAAATCATCCACGATTTTGTTAAAATCATGGAAAATCGCTCGTTTAATCGTAGTAGCTAAGTGAGATTCCATTTGGTCCGAAAGGGGCTGCTATGATTGGATCTTGATAAAGATCACTATGAATATATATATGTAGGACCGTGTTTCTCACTAAGGTTGATAAGGGGAAGGCTCCGACGTGATTACGACCTCCGCCGCATTTGTCACCAATCTTTTGAGATGCCGTTTATTTACAGACTTCCGTTACGTTATTATGGTTTCATAATTATCACGTTGAACTAGTTCTAACCGTTTTTATACATCATGTTACTTTTGAACATGTTTGATTGTGTTGAGTAAAAAACTTGTTTTGCCTTTTCTTTAACAATACGAATGTGGTAACACTCCCTTATTTCCCTTATATTATTCTTTAAAAAAAAATTGGGGTGTTACATTTCTTCTCTAGATAATTTATTTCTTTACAAATGGGTTTACAAAACACAAGCACTCACTTTCACGATAATGGCTCTCTTTCCAAACCTTCCCCGTTTTATTAGAGACAACTTTACTCTCTGAAAGAATCGGATGTCTCTCGTATTGGAAGGTGTGAATCCCGAGATTCCATACTATATGGAAAATGGACCTTTTGTTCCATATGTTATATCTCTAACAGCTCTTGCATTTGCTACGACTGCCGCGATTCCTGAACGGCAGATTCTGAAGCTCCCTCATCAATGGAGTGATGAGGACAAGAAGAAAATGGCTTTAGACACTCGTGCAAAGTCTATAATAGTCATGTCTCTTCATGACGAGGTATATCACTCTCTGTTGAAGCTCAAAACCTCGATATCCATGTGGAATACTCCATGTGTTCAATGATATGATGCTACTACTGAAGTATAAGAATCGATGAAGATTAATCTAGTAAGATAATATGAAATCTTTCTCTGTGGAAAGAATGAATCTTTGTCTGAAGTACATCAACATTTTATTTGTCTTCTTATCGATTTAAAGATAGTTGGAAGAGAATATTCCAACTCTGAGACTCTGACAAAGTTTTTTAAATGCTTTCTAGAATCATGGGATGAATATACCATGTGATTCAAGATGTCTAAGGAGATGTCCTCCCTCTCTCATAGTTCTCTTTATGGGATACTACTAAATAATGAGTAGGCCCATTAGTTGAAGAAGAATCTACATGTCAGATCCTGATCTTTCAGAGGTTGATGAGTCACTGGCCCGTCTGAAAAATATTTTATAAGGTTTTCTAGAAAGAGTAATTTCCGCAGATCTCCTTTACTGACTATTTCTGAAAAAAGCCAAATTTAGATCCTATTGACAAAGCTTCGACGATCTGCTACAACGGTCAACGCAAATGTCACTTTGCAAGCGAATGCACATCTAAGAAGATTGTGAGTCCATTTTCTAAACCACCATCCTTCTCTAGGTCCAAAAATGACAAATATCTAAAGTGAAGGAGTAGTATAAAAAGATGAAGAGTTCCCAGCGTAAAAGTAAAGGTCTTACCGCTGAAGAACATGATTGGGCTAATTCTTCTGAGGAATCGTCCTCTGATTAGGAAGATACCACTTATCTTTGTCTAATGGACAAGGATGTCAAAGATGAACCATCGGAGACCTCATCATCTAGTGATCTCTCGTAATCTACATCTAATCACGTATATTCCCTGAATGAACCCTCTTTTTCTGCCTCTGATAGCCTATTTGTGCTAGATACGCTGACGGTTGCCCTTTACAATGCCCTGAATGGTAAATCCAAAGATGAAAAGATTAATCTTGACCTTGAAGAACATTTAGAAAGATTCCTTCTAAGATTAAAGAACTGACTAAGATTGAAGAAAATCTTAAGGATCATGACATTGTAAACCAAACCATATGCATCGAATATGAACAGGCTATAGCTGAGCATGAGCAAAGTATTACTAAACTCAAGGATGAGAAGGCTACCATTGAAGGGTGATTGTAAAGTCTCCATTAAAGCCTCAGAGATCATTAACGCTCAGATTCCTGCCAAGATAAAGACTGGTCTAGGTTTCTCCTATGATTAGGAATATTGTGTCACTGACAGGTCGATGCTAAAGTTTAGCACCTTTGTCTCTTCCATTCCCGAAAATTCTTCCTCTCAGTATTCTTTCACTGAGAGTCATCTGATATATGTGAGATGTTCCATTGGACAGAGATGTAACTCAGACACTTTTTGAAAGATGACTTCGCCTTGATAGTCAAGGAAGATAAATCCTAACTCAGGCTTGAAGTGCACAATGTTGGGTATGTAAGGACCCTTCGCTGGCAATGATAGGTTCAGCATAGATATGTATGGCTTCTTCGAAGCCTTCAAAACTTCATCTAAGGAGAAATTTGTTTCATGTTCATTCTCAAGGTTGGTCCATCATTAGGACTTGAGGGTCTTCTTCTTCGACCTTTCTTCAGTGTTGGATTTTCGGGTACAGTGACATATCTTGACATCTTCTTGATCAGCTCCTTGATGATGTCTTCGATAACCGGCTTATGTCTTTTTGAGCGCTGAATGGCTTGGCAGATATCCAGCCATTCATTATAGTCATACTCACCAAGGTAGGAAGGGTACTCTGTGACAGCATCAAGATTGTCCCTGGTGATGAGCATTGAGACCCGAACTCCACCGTCTATCATTCTCTTGTGTAGACGTTCTTCGCTTCATTTCATAACTCGGTTAGCCAGCTTCAGTGCTTTCTCGCGCTCAACTTCTGCAATAGAAAGAAGCTTAGCCTGGGCCTTAATAGCATTCACCATCTTTTAGGACTTTTTCTTTGGAAGAACTTTAGCAGCAAGAGACTTGGCCAACTTTAAGCTGTCCTCAGTCTATTGTCGTTGAAGTTTGAGTTCTTCCTTGATGTTGAGTGCCTCGAGTCTTTTAGCTTCAGTCAAGAAGTCAAACTCACCACAACTATAGGTACAAAGCTGGATTTTTATTCTAGTTTGGTCGAGAGACTCCTTCAGCTGAGACATCTGCTGGTCGGTAGGAGCGTTAGAGGTTGGGTTTTCAGGTACCCATTCCTCTAGCCAACCACAGGTAGTAGAAGGGATGGAGAGTTGATATAGAGAAGTGATGGTGGTGAAACTGGAGAAGTTTTGTCCACCCAATCGCTCTTTTGATTTTGGAAATTTTCTTTCGACTTAAGATTTCTTTCTTCAGCAATACCCTTGTCTTTCGACTTATTGTTCTAGTTATTCTCTAATGTCTCCTTTTCTTTCTCCCCTTGCTCACCCTGAGAGAGATGCCTTTCGTGGCACTGACAGGTCTCTGGTATTGTATGGTAAAGTCATAGTCATCGTCGTCTTCATCATCATCGTCACCAAGATCTCCACTAGCGTTAGGAAGGTCAGGAGAATCACCGTCTTCATCTTCATCATCTTCATTATCATCTTCCATATCACTAACATTAGCTACATAAGTGATTGGAAGGTCTTCGTCATGAGCTTCAACGCCATCATGGACGACATCAATATCTTCAATTTCAGGAGCTTCACTAGAAAGTTCGATTTTCATCAGCAACCTCAATTTTAGCTTCAAGATGAGCTTTAGCTTCAGTAAGAGTTGCTGGGATAGCAGCACTAGGAGCTTCAGCAGCATCAGCTCCAGCATTGGAAGGAGCAGCAGCAACTCCAGCATTCAACTTTGTCTCCTCCTATTTGGCTATGGCTTTGAAACAATAGTCAAAGAAGTGATCAACAGTTCGTATCTGAAGCGCCATCATTTCTTCAAGCTTGGTCATAGCACGGGCTAGAAGAATAGTAGCCTCGCGCATTTGATCTAGCTGCTCCTGATCTTCAGCGGTGAACGACGGTTCAGGTGCTGGTATTGGCTGTTGGAGAGTTGCCAATATTTGTTGCATCAGCTCGGTATGCTTGGCAAGATGAGAATTCTCTTCATCGGCCTTGCTTGTTAAAGCAATGATGGTCTCAATGTTGGCATGCACAGCCACGTGCATAGACGAGAGCTGGTCCTTGACCTCTTGCACTTCAGCTCGAACAACTGATAGGTCAGCATAAACTTCGTCACTGAGAGGCATGCCTTTATGTAGTTCGTCCATTTTGATAAAAGATAGTCTCGGTAGTAGGGCGGAGTAACTTGAAGTCGTCAGCTATGTTGTACTCTTAGTCAAAGGTTGGCGTCTCTTCGAAGGGACCTGAAAAGGAACAAGGATGAGCATAAGAGAGCTTTGTGTTAGTTGAAACGAAAGGGTAGGAAGGTAGAGTACCTGAGGGTTCATCAGCATTATCTGAAGGATTAATGATGGTTCACTCCAAGTTTCCTTCGAGAGGATAGGCGTGTAACGCCCCAACCCACACATTGCATGTAATACATATTTCATACAAAATAAATACATATTATTCCATTCAGGTCCCTTAGTACAAGAATCTTACATGACCAAATACAAGGTCCAAAAATTCAAATACATCACTTGTACTAATCAATCAAAAATGTACATCAAAACAGATCTTCAAGCGGAAATGCATATAGAAAAATATTAAATCTTCCCTTTTCCCTTACTATCCGTACCTCCTGCAACACATAGTTAAAATCACAAAACGAGGGTTAGACCGAAAGGTCTAGTGATACCCTATTTATGTTATTGCAGGGTGAAAATCACCAAAAACCTTTATGGAAAACAATTATTCATATATATAACAAATATATGAACAAATAAGAACTCAATACCAGACTTCTTCCATATTACAAGCAAAGCTTTCACTTATACAAATCTCATACCTCTTAATCAAACAGGTTTCACATAATGCCACTTTTAAACCTTTTTAGTCAAAACAAGGTTTATAAAGTTTCAGGCCAAACCTGATGTTTTCTCCTCAATAACATCTAGTCCCATGATTTCCAATAAAAACCTTGATCTTAAATCTTTAAATCACAAAGAAATAAAGATTTCAGAACACGGTAGTCTTAAAGGATATAATAGAAAGAGTTATATCATTCAACACACATGCAAATGCCACCCTTATATCCAATTGTACACATCTCCTTGATATGTCACCCTTATCCCATGGTACATCTCTCCTTGATATGCCACCCTTATTTCCTCATCAAACTATTTTCACAGAATAATTTCAAATAAACCGCAGCCATTGAAATTATTATCAATACAAAATCATTTCTTTCAAAACTTCCTTTTTATGATAAAATAACATTTCTTATCGAAAACACATCATTACATCGAATCTGGTCAATCTTTACTTAGCCGGACTTCAAATTCGGTCAACTATCTAGACAACACACAGAATGAACTTTGTCCGATTTACACTTGGAAATAATTCTCAATAACTTTGTCCGATTTGCACTTGGAAATAATTCTCAATAACTTTGTCCGGATAACAAGTCCGGTCAATACCCCGCATAAGGTTTGATCGATTTATCACTTAGAATCAAAATCATCTTTGTCCG